GGGGTCCCTGAAGGAAGCGGCCGCGCTGCTTAGGCGCGCGCGCCACGAGCGCCTGGGCAACCCCCTTCGGGGTGTCCTGGGGGACAAGGTGCGACGGTGTTTAAGCCGAGAGCACTTCGAGTACGTCCGGGAGCTAGCGGAAGGGGGAGCCTCCGCGCGGCGGGGCGCGCCGCGGAGGCGCGAGCGAGCTCAGCCGTACCCCAGCGTGCGAGCCCACATCGACGAGGCCTACCAGAAGGTATGGGCGGATGTGACCTGGGGGATCGTCTTGGTGGCTTCCCAGGCGGCAGAGGGTTTTCTGACGGAGCTGGTGGAAGCCCCCCTGGGGAGGGTCCCGAAGCAGCTACCGGACAGAACCTTATCGTCCGAAGGGCGTATGATCCACGCGATGCTCTCGGCCAACGCCGCCACACACAAGCGCGACCACCCGCCTGCCGTCCAGCCACGCCATCGGCAGGTGGCGAGGACGGCGGTATGGCATCGCGCGCGCCACCCGGAGCGCGCCTCCTCTGCGCCAAGCGGGACGTCTCGCGGGCCTTCAAGTGGCTGGACATCGCCCCGGCGGACGTCGGGGACTTTGGCACTTCATTACCGGGGGCCCACGCTGGCATCGAGGGGGACGTCAGAGTCGTTTACCTAGCCATGGTGTTTGGGTGGACGGGAGCCCCGGGCAATTACATGATGCTCGCCCTGGCGGCGAGGGAGCTCCACGAGAGCTATCGGCCTGGGGAGCCGCACTGGCACGACACCACCCACTTCCACTCGGAGTGGCTCATGGATGGCCCTGTGGTGGTGGAGCCCGACATTGGGGTCCGGCCGTGGATGGCCTGCGACGCATTGGACGCCTCCATACGTGAGGTGTTTGGGTCCGAAGCAGTGAACGTCAGCAAGAGGGACGCCGAGGGGGGGCCCTCCACCACGCAGATTATCTGGGGGCTCAGTATGGACTTCGACCGCGAGCGAGTTGGACTCCCGGAGCCCAAGGCCATGAAGATGCGCTTCCTACTGGCGGAGCCGGAGCTGAGCTTCGGCTGCCGCATGGTCCGGCTGCGAACCGCGAGGGAGCTAAGTGGGCTCGGCCAGTTCTGCGCCTGCGCAGCTCCAGCCCTGAGCCTGGAGCTCCCAGCGGTCCACCGGATGCTGTCGGGTGACCCAGGTCAGGCCTACGTCCATCCGCCGGGCGACCCCGAGATGGTAGAGGCTGCGTGGGACGATTGGCACCAGACCCTGGATTGGCTGCGCGTCTGCTTTGAGATGCCGGTCGAGGGTAACTTCGAGACCTCCTTCGAGGGCCTGCTAGGCCTTCGCGAGGCCCTCGCACTCCCGGGGGCGCTCGGCAAGCTGCGCTGGCTGGGAGGCGATGCCACCCTGGATCGGATCGGTGCGCTGGACTGGTCCTCGCGCGAGTACATCGTGGCGGAGGCGGCTCCCTATCTGGAGACGCTCCGCTCCGCCCCTGGGGTCACCTGGCAGGGGGAGGGGGAGATCATCGCGGTGGTCGAACTCCTCTGCCTGATAGCCTTGGCGGCCGAGAAGGGCCCGGACTGGTTCCAGCTGCTATTGCCGTACGTCACTGACAACAGTAATGTCAGCCGCTGGCTGCGACGCCGCCGGGCACGGAACGCGGTGGCGCGCCACCTGCTTCGAGTCCTGGCCATGCTGGAGCTACGGTACAAGTTCCGGGTCCTGGACGGGCTTTACTTACGGACTTACCACAACGAGCTGGCCGACTTCATTACTCGTGCCACGGTGGAGGAGGTACGCCAGCGGATGGCGGAGGCCGGATGGACCGAGCTGTCGCCGGCAGCACCGTGGGGCGAGCTGGTGGAGGAGGCCGCCCAGCGCGAGCTGCGGATGCCAGGAGACGACGGGCCCTGGCGCGCGGCTGCACTCCAAGTCAAGGGAGCCCGGGAGGCCCTACCACGCTACGCCCCCCTGCAGGTCGAGGGGGCGCGGCTGCTGGAGGTGGGAACCGCGTGGCCCCCCTTTGGGGAGGCATGGGAGAGCCTCGGTGGGTCGGCGCTGCTAGCGCCGTGGGATGTCGGGGACCGATGGGACCCGGACGACGGGGCCCACCCCAAGGACCCCACTGGGGCCCCGCGGACCCGCTGGCTGTGCGCGTCACTATCGGAGGACCCCGGTGGACGCGAAGCGACGGGCCTGGAGCGGCTACTGATCACCACTCGGCCACTGGCCGTGCTGCTCGACGCCCCCGTCAACTACGCCGCAGTGCGGCTAGGGGCGCGCTTACGGCGCCTCGGCTATGTGGCACTCTCCCCGGAGACGCGCCTACTGTGCACACACTTCGGCGACGTCACGGCACGCGCGCGGGCGGTCCAGGTTTGGGGTTGCGGAGAACGGGTTCGGGCACCGAGCCCCATACCCCCCCTGGGGCAGCCCTGCGTGGAGCCACGCGGCCTCTGCCAGCTCTGGAAAGAGGCAGGGCGGCCACCGCTGGATGAGCTCCGCCTGGACCTCAACAACGGCACCTTGCTCGTGGACCCTCGGATCTCGACGACGGGGGATCGCATGATGCCCTGGCCGCGCGGCACATGGCAGCCCGCGGGAGGCGGGCGGGCCCAGCGCGTGGTGATTCATGATCCGCGCGGGCCCTGCCATACGGCACGGGCGAAGCCCGACCCGTTGAAGGGCTATGCGAACACCCTGATCCTGGAAGGGTCCGAGGGCGGCTGGACCGTGCGAGCCCTGCACCCGAAAGAAATCTGGTGCGCCCAGGGGGGCACGGCGGAGCTGTGGGATGCCTTGGGCCTTGGAGGTATGCCGATCGCCGAGCGCATGCGGCAGGCCGCTCGTGCACTCCCGCGTCGCACGGCCCGCTGGGTGCTCCAGTGGGCGGAGCGCCTGCTGAGGCAGGCCGTAGAGGCAGCAAGCGCAGGCGAGGCACCCGGGGCGCGCGCTGGCGTCGGACCCGACCACGACCGACTCGCTAACGACGAGATGGTTAAGCGGTGGCTGAAGGCCTGGCTTCAGGCCCCCGATCGCCCAAGCGGGCCATTCGAGGCTGCGCTGGAGGCGGGGAAGACGACGGGCGACGCCGCTCGGTTGGCGGACCAGCTCGACCCCCCTGCTACCGCGCGGTCCACCGCAGCAGGGGAGGACGGGGCAGGCGGGGAGCGGGTCGGGGCGGTGACCTTCGCTGTTCCGGAAGGCGCGGGCATGCCCAGGCCAAGCGCCACGGACGGCGTGGGCGGCGAGGCTCGCCCCCCGCGCAAGGCCCGCCGGCGTACCTGCAGCGCCCCTGCTCCCGCGCTGGTGAAGCCCGCCGCCTGGCGGTGCGCCGGCGGGGGCGCCCCGAAATGGATTCAGGGTGAACTCACCGACCCCCGCGAGCTGGATGCGACCGCCACCGAGGCGATGCTGGCCAAGCTTGCCGAAGGGACGCGGGCCAATTACAGCGCCGGGTGGCGTAACTGGGTACTCTGGCGGAGGCTCCGAGGCCGGAGCCCATACCTGCAGGGGGAGACTCGGGACGCCCGCCTTACGGATGAGGATGACCTCATCCGGTATGTCGTGTACCTGTACAAGGTGATGAAGAGGCGGGCCACGACCATCCGCCAGCGCCTGTTCGCCATTCGATATGCCCACACCCTGGCCGGGTTTGGGGATGTGACCTCCGATCGGCGCCGGCTCTGGACCACGATCGAGGGACTCCGCCGCTGGGACGGAAAGGCGAAACGGAAGCTGCCGGCCACGCCCCGGATGTTGCGCTGGCTCCGCGAGTACTTGTTCGCCCACGGAACGGCCACGCGCCGGGAGGCGACCATCCTATGGGCGGCGCTTATGACGGGGTACTTCTTCATGCTCCGCGCGTCGGAGTATTTGGTCCAAGAGGACCGCTCCTGGAGCATGGGACGGGTGGTGCGTGGGCAGGACGTACAGGGGATGCGCGGGGGTACACCCAGCGCAAGGCTCAGCGACTGCGACGAGGTAGTACTGACGATCACGTCGTCCAAGACGGACCAGTTTAACGCAGGTTGCGTACGCAACCATTACCGTTCGGGGGTGGAGTTGTGTGTCGTGGACGCACTCGCCGACCTCCAGAGGGAGCTGCCGGACCGGTTTGGACGAGGAACCGAGGCGGGGCTCCCCCTGTTCCGCCGGCCCGATGGCCACCCGATTATGCGGGAGGAGGTGCAGGGGCTCCTCCAACTCGCGGCTGCCGCCTGCGGCGTGGACGCAGGCCAGATGGGATCCCACTCCCTGCGCATCGGGGGCGCGACGGCGTTGTACCACGCCTGTCGCGACCTGGAAGCGGTCAAGAGGTTCGGGAGGTGGTCCACGGACGCCTTCCACGGATATCTCTGGGAGGACCATCGGCGTCAGGCTCCATTCGCCCGAGGCATGGCGGAGGGCCACGCCTTATTGGCCCCGGACGCCCGCGGTGACGACGGCGTCGCGGCCGGCGCCCGCCCCGACCAGTTGGCCGGGAGCGACCCGCCCCAGTTTGGGAGCGACCTGAGGCCCTCGGAACGCCCGGCCTGGGCGCCCGGGCGCCCCCCCTGGGCGCGCCCTTCGGCGCGAGCAGGGTCAACTATGGAGGGGGAAGGAGAGGAGGAGCTGGTGAGATACGAGCCAGGGCGAGGAGTTAACGGGCGTGTGGGGAAGCAGCAGGCGGGTCCCACAGGTATTCAGGTCAGGGCGGGGGCTTCGCGTTGTGGGGGTATCCCGGTGGACCTCTCGCCCTCGACCCCCTTTTCGCTACCGCCCCCGATCGCCCCAGGCACGCCCACCTCCTCTTGGTCCTCTCATCCGCAGCCATCTCCCACTCCAGAGCGAGGCGCGCGAGCAGCGCGCGCACCCCAGCCTCGCGCGCCAGCCGCGCCTCCGCCCCGCGCTCCGGCAGCGTACATCATGGGATTCCTGGTGGGCCTGGTGGCCCCGGACCAGAGCAAGGCGCGCGGCCATGACTACAGCATCATGGCGGTGAACCCCCTCGGCGTCGTCGTCTCGGGGGCCGCGCTGTCGGACGAGCTCCGGAGTGCCGCCCACAACATCCTGTACACGGTGGTGAACGAGCTGGACAGCGAGGACCTCGTCGAGGTGGTCAACCACGACCACGAAGCAGCCCCGTGCATCGCGGCGGCTTGCTTGGCCGCGGGGGCGAGCGAGGACCACGGCCAGCTGGTGATCGTCGACGGCAAGCGGGGCGCGTGGGGAGTGGGCGCGGGGCCGAATATCAAGGTCCAGCGCCAGGCGGCCAAGCTGGCGCTCGCCCTGGCCCAGTTCCAGGGGCAGCCCATGCCGGAGCTCCGCGAGCTCTGCAAGCACAACAGGGGGCTGCTCGACATGATGCGCACGGTGGACGCGGAGGCGGTCGTGGAGCTCACCGACGTGGACGACGCCTCGAGCAGGGGCGAGGGGAGGTCGACCCCAGCCCCGGTCCTCGAGGCGGGAGAGGACGCGGTCACCGCGGCGCTGGCGCGTGCGGCCATCCAGGCTGCAGCGCGGCGCCAGAGCAAAGGCGCTCCAGCGGAGCGCCCGCGGCCCGCGCGGTCCCCGGGCCAAGAGCGCCTCGCCGAAGAGGTCCGCAAGCGCGAGAGGCGCCCTGCGCCCTTGCGCTCGCCCTCGCGCGCGAGGCGCCGCGATCGCGAGCGCGATGAGCCTCGCGATCGCGGGCGCAGGGGACGGGAGGAGGAGGCCGTCTTGAAACCCAAGACGGGCGGCGCCCCCCCGAAGGCCGACATCGTGAAGCGTGAGGCCGTCCTGAAGCCCAAGAGCGGGGGGGCGCCGCCGCGGTCCTTCGAGGTGAAGACCGAGGTGGAGGAGGCGCCAGGCGCGGGGGACGGTCCGCCCCAGCGCCAGCCGCGCTCGAGGAGCCGCCGTAGGCGCAAGGAGGAGCAGCGCCAGGGCGCCCAGCAGCAGCCCAGTGACCAGCACGACGAGGGCGAGTCCATCATCCGCATCGAGCGGGTACCGCACCACGTCGATGCCGAGGTGGTCAGGCAGGTGGTCGTGCCCTTTGGGGTCGTCAAACACATCGCCTTCCTGTACGACCACCGCCACAAGCGGGAGCCGTGCGTGCTGGTGGAGTTCCAGCGCCGCGCTGACGCAAAGCGCGCGGGAGTGCATGAGGTCGAACTGTCGGTTCTACAAGACGGACCCGTGCACGGTGGTCACGGAGTGGGCGAGCCGACCTCGCGGCCCTGACCCAGGCAGCGACGGGGAGGATGGCCCGACCATCCAGCCGCCTGCCTGCCCGACGTGCGCACTCAAGATGCGCTGGAGCTCCTTTGACCCGGGAGACGGTTGGGGTTGCGAGATGTGCCCCGCGGGCGGAGCTAACAGCGGAGCCCTGCGGTGGCACTGTAAGGGGTGCGACGTGAGCTACTGCGAGGCTTGCCGCGTCGCCTTCGGCAAACCCAAGACGGTGGTGGAGAAGGCCCGGCGGAGCGGCCACACCGTGCGGGAGGCGCCGGGCCCCAGTGCCGGCCACGGAGAGCGCCCCAGCACGGGTGCCACGGGTGCGGGGGCTGAGGGGGACCGCCCGCCAGGCGACCTCAGCTGGCCCAAGCGTGAGAGGTCGCCCAGCCGCAACCGGCCCAAGCGCGAGAGGTCGCCCAGCCGCAGTCTGGCGCGGGACCCAGCGTGGGCGCGGCGCGGCGACACCCCTCCCGGCCGCACGCGGCGTAAGACCGGGAAGCACGCTGGGCAGCTTCGCGCTCCTCGCGGCGGCTGGTACGAGCAGGAGAAAAAGCGGCGGCGTGCTGCCGCCGCGGAGGCTGCCGCGGGCGGGGGTGGGATCCCAGCCTGGCGTGGCAAGGGCGCGGGCGACAAGGGCGGCAAGGGCGGCAAGGTCAAGGGCAAGCACTCCGGCAAGGCCGCCAAGGGCTCCAAGAGCGGCGGCAAGGGCGACAAGAGCGGCAAGGGCGGCCACTCCAAGGGCGACCAGGGCAGCCGCGGCCGGAGTGAGCGTGACTGGCCCAGCGCGGACGGTCGCGCGTCGAGGGGCGGCGATGGCGGCAGCCCCCGGGACCCCAGTGAGCGCGGCGGAGACCGCAGCGGAGACGAGAGCCGCGACCGCCAGGGGAACACGCCCTCCATCTAGGCGTGGACCCCCCCGTATCCCGACGCCAGCGCCCGCGGCATCGCGGGCGCGGGCTGAAGGCGGCGGCCTGTGAGTGAGCCGGCCCTCCTCTCAGCCTACCGTGCGCAGGTGGCGCCTGCGATCCTTTGAGCCTGCGGTACGCAGGTGGCGCCTGCGATCTTCTTTCTTTTAGCTCACGGTACGCAGGTGGCGCCTGCGATCCTCTCTCTTTGGAGGAGTTTGAACGTTGCGCGCGCGTCGCGTGCTTCCTGGACCCGGCCGCGCCGCGCGTCTTGCGCGCCGTGCGGTCGGGGCCACACTTGCGCTCTGCGCCCGGCGCATCATGCGCCGTCCCCTTTCAGTTCTTTTGCGCGCATCGCGCACGCGCCGCGCCCGCGCTCTGGGTGCGCGGGGCGCGGAAGGCCTCAAGGTTGCAGGCAAGTGGCCGCGCGCGCGAGGCTCTTGCAGCCTCCGGATCCGCCCTCGCACTCGGGCGGGGCGTCCCCGCGCGCGCGGCTGCGTTTTCTCTTTTCTCATGGCCAAGCGGCCGCAGGCGTGCCAGAGCGCGAGCGCGCGGGCCGTCAGGGCCCACGCGCTCGCGTTGAGCGTGGGGCCATCAGGGCCCACGCCCAGGCGGAGATGCGCGTCGCCACGCTGCCATGAAAATACCATCGCCCTGTCCTGGTCCCTCTCTCGTCCCCTCCTCTCCTCCTCTCCCTCCGTTGAGTGCACGCGTATCTCACTTAACTTGTATAGTCTGATTGGTTGTAGACTGCAGGTTAAGTGGGAGGGGGTGTGGGCTCAGGTAGCCATTTTGGGTCCGTAGCGTTCGGCTCTGGCCGACGCGCGGGTGCCCACCCACCCCGCTTTGCTCCCAGACGCCTGCGTCGGCCAGCGGCCGCAGGCGTGCCAGAGCGCGAGCGCGCGGGCCGTCAGGGCCCACGCGCTCGCGTTGAGCGTGGGCCATCAGGGCCCACGCCCAGGCGGAGATGCGCGTCGCCACGCTGCCATGAAAATACCATCGCCCTGTCCTGGTCCCTCTCTCGTCCCCTCCTCTCTTCCTCTCCCTCCGTTGAGCGCACGCGTATCTCACTTAACAAGCTATTTCGGAAGTTATCGCATCCGAGCTTCGGGAGATCGGAAAAAACAACGCAGTCACTGATGCGGGGCCAGTTCCAGAAATTAAGGAGGAGTATTTCTTACCCGCTCCAGGAGGAGAGCCAGGACAGGAGGAGGAGAAGTATTGGGACGACGTGCATGCAGGATGGTTAAACATTAAACTTACTGAACAGGCTAAAAAGGAGGAGGACGCTTGGATGACTAAGCAGAACGTTTTCACTGAGGTGGAGCAGGGTGCCTGCAAGAGGCTCACAGGCAAGAACCCCCTTGGGACCCGCTGGGTAGATACGAACAAAGGTGATAGCTGTCGTCCCCGTTATCGTAGCAGACTGGTCGCAAGAGAAATCGCCGGCAAACAAAAACGATGTCCTGAGCAACTTACAGCAGCAGAATCTTCCAGCAGCACACCACCCTTGGAGGCTTTCAGGTTGTCGTTGAGTTTTGGTGATGACCTTGAGAGTTTCGAAGCGAGGTTTACCTCTCAAGGTTGGCATTTGGGATGTTTCTCGGGCACATCTGTATGGGGAAGCTCAGCGTGACATGTACATCACACTTCCAGATGGTCGAGAAGCTAAGTGAAGCAAGAGCGTGTACGGCACGCGCGATGCAAGTCATATATGGCAGGGCGACTATTTGAATCTCATGCGAGATGGCGAGTTTCGGCAAGGGATGTCCAATCCCTCTCTTTCGTGAGAGCGACGAGGCGAGGGGCCTCGTCCGCGGCGACGATTTCATGGTCGTCGGCGACGACATCACCCTTGCGGATGTAAATTCCAGGCTGGCTTCGAAGTACGACATGAAATGTTCAGGTATCCTGGGGTCTGAGGAGAAGGATTCGGAGATTCGGAGGAGGTCGTTTTCTTGAACAGAGTTCTGAGGTACGTTTAGAGGGCCCGGGGCCTGCATCGAGATCGAGAGTGGCCAACGGCATGTGGACACGCTTTTGAGAGATCACGGTTTGGAAAAGGATTCGGCCAAGGGAGTTGATGTTCCGTCCAGCAAGAAGAGCGTCGAATATGCTCTGAAGGAGCTTGAGCTCCCTGTCTTGGACGCTGCCGGTGTTCGCGCCTACCGATCAGGCGTGATGCGAGCGGCCTATCTTGCTCAAGATCGGCCAGACATCGGCGAGGCGGTCACAAGCTTGACGAGGAAAATGCAGCACCCCAATGTCTCGGACTTGGCGGCTCTTAAGAAGTTGTGCCGCTATCTGAAGAAGTACCCGTGCCTCGTCTCTCGGTTTTTCCTTCAGGCAATGCCGAAGGAGCTCAGTATGTCTGTGGACACAGAGTGGGCAGGATGTCCGACTACACGTAAGAGTACTAATGGTATGGTAGCAATGTTCGGCAAGCGTACTCTAAAGGCGCAATCTACATTGCAATTAATCTTGACCGTCTTGAAACTGCCCTCTCCACTGCTCGTGCAAGCATCCCACCCTCCCACCCGCAACTTGGTCGCAATACCTCTTTAGACAAGACCGTGCACTGAGCCACGACACCGACGACGACAGCGACAACGACGACGACGGCGCCACCGACACCGACGACGACGACGACACCACGCGAACGTCGTTGAAGGAGCGCGCGAAAGTAGCTCGCACGAGCTCGTGCGACCGAGATGTTGGAAACAACTTCTTGGTTTTTAAAAGTTCGGACAGCGCGAGCGGGCAGCATTTTGAAAATCCATGCGTGTTTTTTTCGAGGACCTACGGTGCGATTCGTGTGTTTTTATGATACGCAGTGCTGAAATGCTCAAGAAACCAAAGGGTTTTTGAAGATTTCGGCGCGCGCGCGCGAAGAAAAAACGAATGTGTCCCGCATGGCATTATTTGACAAGGATTATGCCCCTGGCAGGCGCGCAGCCATTGTTGAAGAAGTTCGAAGCGCAGGAAAAAGTTGCTCGCAAGAGCCCTTTTGACAGAAATGTTGGAAAAGTAGTGGGTTTCCTAGGAATCCGCAAGAGCGCGCGGGGTGAATGATTGATTTTTTTTTCGTTGAAAACCGTTTGGGTTTTTGATGTTTTTATGTAAAATTCGTTACGGACACTAAGGTTTTGGAAGGACTTCGTCTTGCGCGCGCGAGTGCGTCCCGCATGGTATTATTTGACAGGGATTCGCGAAAAAGTGCTATGTTAGAAAGAAAAATGTCTCCGCATAGTGTTATTTGACAAGGAACCGCAGGGGGGGGGGGATGCCGGCTTGGCTGGGATGGTATGAATTCACATTTAGGATGGACATGTGGTCAGAACCATATGTGATTTGCAGCACGCGCGGGGGAAGCGATAGGTCCGGGGGGGGGGGGTAGAATCTATTAGTCTTTAAAACCATTTTGCGGAACTTGAAGTCGTCATCTCCACTGCTCGCGCAAACATCCCACCCAACGACTAGGACGACACCGACGACGTCTCCGACGACTTCGATGACGACAACGACGCCGACGACGACGACGACGACGAAGACGACGACGACGACGCCGACGAAGGCGGCGACGAGGAAGGAGGAAGGGCGACGACGGCGACAACGACGACAACGACGAAGGAGGAGGGAGGGCGGTGACGACGCGAACGACGACGAAGGAGGAAGGACGGCGACGCCGACGACGACAACGACGAGGGAGGAGGGAAGACGACGACGACAACGACGACGACGACGGCGACGACAGGAGGGACGACGATGAGACGCCGACGACGACGACGACGACGTGGGAGGAGGAGGAAGGACGACCGCGGCGACAACGACGATGGAAACGACCACGACGCCAAAGAGGACGACGACGACAAACACGAGAAACAACAGAGGACGACGTAGGCGACGACGACGACGACGCGGGAGGAGGGAGGGCGGCGACGACGACGACGACGACGACGCAAGAGCGCGCGCGCACGCTTTTGTTGAAAATCAGTGTTGCGAAACCTTGGGTTCTTGTAGTTTTTTTTTGGGCGCGCGATTTTGAAATCCTTCCGAATCCGATGGGTTTTGCAGGTTTTCGGCATGCGTCCGCGACGACGCGCGCGCCTGCACTTCGCCCCAGTTTTTTGCGCAGGATTCTCGCGACGGCACACGCGCAAGGGCGTTCGACAGATTTCGACATGCGCGCGCGCGAAGCCCGTTTGGTAGCATTTTGTGAGAATATTGAAAAACCTATGGTTTTCTTATGATTTCGCAAGAGCTCGCGCGGAAGTTTTTTTTAGCAAATCAGTGTTGCGAAACCATGTGTTGTTGTATGTTTTCGGAAACTCTATTGCGAAATCCTTCCAGCACCGAAGGTTTTTGAAGGATTTCGGCATGCGCGCGCGACGACGCGCGCGCGTGCACTTCGTCTTTTTTTTTTTGCAAGGGACTCGTGAAAAAGTGTTATGTTAGAAAGAGAAATGTCTCCGCGTGGTGTTATTTGACAGGGAACCGCAGGGGGGGGATACCGGCTTGGCTGGGATGGTATGAATTCATTTTTAGGATGTACATGTGGTCAGAATCATATGCGATTTGCCGCGCGCGCGGGGGAAGCGATAAGTACGGGGGGGGTAGAATCTATTATTGTTTAGAAAGGAGAATCGACAGTAGCACTCAGCAGTGGGGAAGCAGAATACTACGGTATCTTGAAAGGTGGAGCGACCGGCCTTCTGATCTAGGCCATCTTGGAGGATTTCGGATTGTCGTTTGAAGTGCATGTAGTGAGCAAGGTGAAGGATGAGCTTTCTGTGTCGATTGCCTCGGACTCGTCCGCGGCGCGAGCGCTTGCACATAGGCAGAGTGCAGGCAAACAGAAGCATGTAATGACTAAGTTTATGTGGATCCAGGAGAAAGTCCGGAATCGCCTCTTGAAGATAATCCCAGTAGGCACTAGGGTGAACGTAGCTGACTTATTCACTAAGTGCGTTTCGCATGCGACAGCCTCTAGGCACCTGAAGGCCATGGGCTTTGTTTTCAGGACCGTCTGGAGTAGCCTTCATAGGAAGCTCTGAGTAATTAGTATCGTGTGAGTTCGAATTCGTTTTGATGACTTGTCAGCAGGTCATGCCGACGCGTCTTAGGAGGAGTGCAGATATTCCAGTAGTGCGGGATATTGAGCCCGATTCTCACGTCTCACGATTTCTCTGCACGTGTGTAACGAGCGTTGTACATTTTGTGACAGGCATGTTGTGTGTTTGTCTTGAATTCGTTTCGCAACCATTTGGCTCGTTTCAGGCACTGCGCTGGAAAAAGGGCCCATAACTCAGGGTCATAGTATATCTACACTGTTGCTTTGTTTTCACCCTTGCTGGTCATGCGAGGCCTCGCTTGCGTCTGGGGCGCATCAGCGCGGCGCAGCACAGCTGGACATGCATCGCGCCCGCGCTGCTCATGTCCAATCTGGCGCTCGGGGTCGAATGCTCAAGTTCAGTCTCGCAAACAACCGTCGGGGCGGGCGCGTGTCGCGGCAAGGGAGGCACGGGTGAGAAGCGGGATTAATTGACGGAGCAAGAGGAGGAGGAGGGCGGCGAGGAGGAGAGGGGGGAGCGACTGGGGGGAGGAGGAGGAGGAGCAGGGGGAGGGGGCGGAGGGGCGGGGGGGAGGGGGGGGGGGGAGGAAGAGGGTGAGTAGGAAGGACGAGGAGAAGGAGGCGGAGGGGGAGGCGGGGGAAGAGGAGGGGATTGACAGACTTAAGAAGGAGCAGGCGCGGAATGATGAGGAGGGGGGGGGGGGGGGGGGAGGGGGGGGGAGAGGCGGGGGATGGGGGGGGGGGGGGGGGGGGGGGGATGAGTTTGATGGCGGTGCAACGTGCGGGGCTAATCGTGCCCCGCGTACTCGCGCCAGAAAGGAAGGCAGATCAGCGTGCGACGCTGTCTCGATCGAATTCAACACTTGTGCGAGCCACCGACCGCAACGTGATGGCGAGCACGCTCGCCACTGAACAAAAAAGACCGCACCTGCGAGGCCGTCCGATCACGCGCCCTTCTTGACGCACTTGTTCCAAGAGTCCCCTGCAGCCTTGTACGCGTCCTCCAGCAGGGCAGCGGTCTGCGCGGACGTCGCGCCTGCTTTGGCACAGGCGGCCTTCGCAGCGCAGTAAGCCCTCGATGTGAAATCGTTGCGGCTGCGCTGCTCGTCGGGGGCGCACTTAAGTGCATCTTGAAATCGGCCAGCGCGGGAACCTTGCCCTTGGCCTTGCCGCTGCCCATGTTGGCGCTGGAGGTGCTGCCTTTGCCTTTGCCAGAGTCCTTGACCACTGCCGCAACTGCTACCTTGCCCTGCTTCTTGGTGACCTTCGCCTTCGCCGCCTTGGCGGTCTTCATGCTGGATGGCTTGCGGCTCTTCGCCTCGGTCGCAGCAGCCTGGGGGGCGCGGCTCCATCTGCGACGCTGTCGGCAGCGCCAGCCGAACCCAATGCTAAACCAGGGCGACCGTCACCCTTCTGAGCATCAGCTGGTGGTTGACCGTTCTCGAGGGCGAGCGGTGCTGGCGCGCCAAAGACGGCGGTCGCAGCTCCTGTCAGGGCCCTCGCCCCCGCAGCGAGGACGCCACGGTCGTCTCGCTTGGCAGCGGCGCCTGCGGGGTTGAAGAACGTCAGGCGTGGGCCTGCGCTCGTTCCCCATGGCCTGCTGGGCGAGCTGGCCGATCGGCGCCAGCGCCTGCTGCGCCATCTCGCCGAGCTGCAAACATGTTGCGGCGTGGGGGGCGATGGGGGACGTAGTGTTATGGATGCAACGGCGCGCTTGCGGGGCGATCCGGATAAGTACTTTTGAAATGGTTTTGTAATGGTTTTGAAATGGTCGGTGCAAGTACTCCTGGGATGGTTTTGGAAAGGTAGGGGTAAGTAGTCGTTTCAAACCACATGCACCCCTACAGTGGTCGCCTCGATAGTGATGGAAAA